AAAAATTAGAACAATCTTAGATTTTTGTTAAATCTAAAAGTGAAAAAAATCACTTTTTTAATTTTTTTATTTATTTTACTTTTATAACTCATTAATTACAGTATTGCAGGTAATCGATTCTGAATTATTTTTGTTGTTGTTTCTATTTTTACCAATTACAGTAGCATATCAGGCGAGGCACTGGCATACTTAGCGGAAGTGAGCCGTTGGAGGAATAATAATAATCAATTTGATAATTATTATTGGATATCATTATACGCACATAATCTAATTATTTTTGGATATTTCTCTGATTTTGTATGGGTTCTAAAATGGTGGGTAATTTTCAATATTTCTGTTTAAAAAAATTGTGCGTAAATGAATTGAAAATTATGTACATACTGTACATATTTTGTATCATTATATAAAAAATTAATTATATACGAATTTTTAAATTGAATTATCACTGTAATTTCATATTCAAAACGGCACGAAAATATATAAACATATTGTAAAACGCTATAAACTGCTATAAAGTACACAATTAAGTGATGCATAAAAGAGAACGCTATAGTAGTGGTAATTGGTAATTTAAGCTATTTTTTAAAATCTGTGTAATTAATTTATTATCGTAACGTAACAACGCGATTTTCCATTCTTCGATATACGTTTATATGATTTTCTAACATGTACTGTACCTGTGGGCATAGTAAATTCTTGTGATTGTAGAAAATTCGTGGCTTCGAAAGCAACATTACAAAATGTTATTCGTGAATCAAAGTACTTAGTTGAACATCCATAGAATGTTCTGTGGCTGTAACACAAACGCGAACATTGAAAAACGTTCGCAGAGAAATCGCGAGGCAGTGTGGAGGGAATTGGTGTTAACTTGAAGGCTAAAGGTAAATAAAAGAATAGCCCTGGTTTTTAAGGAGGGTCTGAATAGCGGTGGGAATCTTGGCTGTGAGAAAGACAGAAATTATTTAATCAAGCCATGTGTCTTTGTAGGACTCTTGAAGAATCTATTAAAATTTTAAAATTTAAAAGTTAGGTTGTGATAGAACTTGAATGATTAATCAAAGCCCTTGCGTCTCGTATTGATGTAAACATTATGTTTTTCACTTTGTAAGTGAGCATAACCACAGGTTAATAAAATAATAATTATCTAATAAAATCCTAAACCCCTTAACAAACTTGCTAAATCATCATAATCACGCCTCTGGTTAGTTGCCTTATCATATTACTTATCGTTATTTTCATCATATTATAATTCATCCTATGACAGTAAATATTTATGAATAGCATTTTTTTTAAATACTTATATTAATAAATATTCTTTATACTCACCTACTGTTCCAAAAATTCAAGTCGATTGAAACACTATACTCACCTTCTAAATTAACGTGAATAAAATAAAATCAATTAGTGGACTTGAATGCAACTCACTCTCATTATAATGAAGTCATCGGGTCGGGAAGAAAATCTTCACTATAGCTTGTATCGAGATGATACTAATATGCTTCATTATATTGATGAAATTTAATAAGTTCATAACTCACTATATCGAGAGTTCTCTATAACGAAAATGAGTTGTAGCCTACTTTAACTACTTAGATTAATAGTCACAGACTAAATTAACGTGAATAGCTTATTTAATATTTGGATTGATAAATGTTCTTATACTCACCCATTAAATTAACTCGAATAAAATAAAATTTAATAGTCAATATTTTATTTTAAACACCCTAGATTAATAAATGCTCTTTTATACCACCAACTAAATATTCTTGAATAACTTATTTTAAATTCTTAGATTAGTAATGTTCTTATCCCTTAAACTGTCTAGTGGGCAAATTTACCTGCTAAAATGATTTTTGAATGTTTTTTTTTAAAATTTTCTCAAAATTTATTTAAGCTTTCCCCCTATTTATTAAGTAAAAATTAAAGATATTTGTTTTATTAATAATATATTTAAATTTTATTATTTTATTTTAATTTTGAATAAGATATTAGATTTTTAATAAAATAAATTTTTTAATTTTATTATTAAAAGTTTCTTAAAATTTTATAGTTTTTAAAGAAAAAAATTTTAGCTACTACTAAGTAAAGTTTAAATTTGCTTAATAATATAACAATAAAAGTTATTTAATTTTAAATTTTCTACAACTTTTTATTAAGATAGTGGGGCTAAATCTTAAATTTTTATTAAGTAAAATTAAAAAAAAAAGAATAAAATTTTTTAAAAAATTGTAAAGTTTTCTTTTATAAGTAAACTTTAAATTTTTTATAAATATTAAAAAAATAAAAATATCTTAGATACTGTAGTTAGGTTGGTCGAATTACTGGTCGACTAAAAATTTATTGGTCAAACTGGTCTGGTCAAATTGGTCAAATGGTCTGGTCGAATTGGTCAAATGGTCTAGTCTATTAATTAAATAAATTAGTATCCAAAATAAATATATATATATATATATATAGTATATATATTTAAATACCCTTTGACCAATTTGACCAATACTAAACCCTTTGACCAACTGGTCAAATTGGTCAAAACTGGTCTGGTCAAGCTTGACCATTGACTATGCCAACCCTGACTGTAGTATATAATTATATATAGTTATTATTTAAAAAAATTTTTTTTTTAAAAATTTTGATTTTTAAATGCAATGCGACGGGGCCATATGTAAAAATTTAGCTAAACATGCACTTAGAGAGGTATTGCATTTAGGGAGGTAAAAATCTATAGCCGTGATATTAGTTGGGCCCGAAGACGTGCATTTAGGGAGGCTTTTCATAGGACGTGCACTTAGAGGGGTGCATTTAGGGAGTCTGACTGTAGATCAGATATAAATTTATAAAATTTTAAACTGGACGGTTTAAGGAATACTCACATACTAAATTAACGCGAATGAAATGAAATTAAATATAGTAAAATATTCATGAACTTTGAATAGTTAATTTTAAATATGTATTAAATTAACGTGAATAAATTAAATTAAATATATAGTAAATATTCATGAACTTTGAATAGTTTTTTTAAATACCTATATTGACAAATATTCTTTATACTTACTGTAAATTTACACGAATAAATAAAATTTTAAATATTAGATTAATGAATTTTTTTTTTACATACGGACCAAGTTAATGTTAATGTGAATAAAATAATTTTAGCCGCATTATTAAAATTTTTAATATAACTGTCATTATACCTTACCGTTACTCCCTAAAGATTAAATAATTTTAAGAACTTCCAATTTCAGAATGTAAATTCAAATACGTATATTGATGAAAACTAACAAATGATTTACTCTATAATTCAATATCCATATTTGTCTTCAGATAATGCATAAATGTTTTATGCTTACCCAACTCCAGTAATTTCGGCAAATAGTACCCTGAGTCTCTTACATTCCTAGGAGTAAATCTTTGTCAGGTGGAGGGTATTTTATGTGGGAGTGTTTATGTAAGGGATACTAAATGCAATAAAGTTAACCAATCATCATTTAAAGTAAATGCAAAAATATTTGGACAGATATGTTTAGATGTACCCGGGTCTTTTACAATCATGTTTACGAAATATACTTCAGGTACAAATCGTGGGGGGTATGCTAACAAGGAGTACTATTTGCAAATTATGATATTTTTCATCTCAGAAGATATTTGATAATGAATGAATTCTTTATTTTTATCCTTTTCAAAATCAATTATTTTATTTTTTATTAAAGTAAATCTGGTACATAGTATGTAAATAATTATTTTTTTTTTCGTTTTTTAACCAAATTCCCATCGAACAAACGATAATCCTAGAATCATAATTATACTATTCCAAATCGTAAAACTACTCACCACAAATCTATTAGTGCCAGATGCTTTATGATATGAATTAATTGGCGGTAGTGGACCCTGAAATGTGATATTTTCATTAAGATTTGGTAATATTGTCACATTGTCTGATGGTGGGACTTTTGGTATTATTGGATTTGGATTTGACTGAGTTTTATATCTGTGCATATGTATAATTATAAAATTTCAAGTAATTATAATAATAGATTTTTATAAATTGTTATATTGTATTCAATATTAAAATATGAAGTAAAAATATACCCTATAGATTCCATGATAGATCTCAATCTAGGTCCGATAACTCCAGAAATGTCACCGTTCTGGTAATTTCCACCTTTAGAAATTAAATCGCTAATGGTAAGCCCGGGTTCCAACTTACATCTCATTAAAAAATCTTGGCTATTAGTATAACTATTATAGCTAACATGTGAAACGCTAGATCCTGAAATATAAGGATTAAGACTTGTTTCTAAATAAGTTCCGTTGACTAATTGATATCCTCTCGGTAAAAACACCAAAGTATTTGCGATGATACTTTTATTAAATATTAATGGAGCAACACTCTTCCATTGCGGTGATATTATTAAAGATTCTGCAAATGTAATAGATGTAGAGAATTCGGTTGGTGGTGGACCAAACTCATTTAATTTTGAAGTGTATGCTGACAATGAAGTGGAAATTGATGGAGATGATGTTTTATCGTCTGGAAGAACTACAAGAAACTTATCAAATATTGTCTCTATAAATCCTTGAAAAATAATTGGATTATCAGATAAATTATTTGTTGGTTTATAAATTAAATATGGAACTGGTGATAATGCATTAGTTGGATATTGTAATATAGCGTCAATGTGATTTCTCCATGCAGATGTAAATCCAAGACCGTGAAACAATTCATGTAATATTACTGTATGTATGTTTTGTTGGGCTGGACTTATTGGTCCATCTCCATTAAACCAAAAATTTACAGCTATATATATAAGAATGAATGAAAAAAAATTTTATGAAGTTATGAATTGAGAGGAATTTGAAGTGTTAACCTACCTGAATTGAATTGTGCATAAATGTCGCAATTACTAAATTCTGGTTATTTTTAAATTTTAAATGTGTCAATCAAATATATATGATATATATGTATATTTATATAAGTTAAATTAATATTAGCGTAATAAATAATTTACCTGGATGAACGTCAAATTTAAATTGTTTTACGAGTGATTGGGGATACAATCGTGGAACACCATCTTCAGATATCAGAGGTATAAATCTCGACGGACTAGCTACTCCTTTAAATAAAACAAATAAAATAAATAAAAGAATTCAACATTTAACTTCGTTTAATCATATCTTTTATATGGTCTAATTTTAGCAAGCTATCGTTTTTATTGCATGCTAAAGGTTAACTCGATCTTGTGATAGATTTTTTAAAGAGAAATATACTTACCTAAAATGCTAGAATCATTAAGATTCGAGAATGTAGCGTTAAGGGTAAGCGGGACTTCAATTATGAAAACTGAACTTATGATTTCTCCGGCCATCATAAAGGCTGATTGAACTTTTTCACACAGAACATTGTCAGTGCTATCACATTGAAAATTTACAGTGAATGAACTTTGGTTGACTAAATTTTTTGTCCCGAAAGTAGTCATTGTAGACTTTACAAATGGGCATGACGTAATCACATGTTTTTCTGGTTCGGATGGATTTGGAATGTCAAAGCAGTCGTACGAAAGGACAAATAATTTAGAAAAGGAGATAGATAGCGAAATATAAAGGAAAACAGACAACTTCATCAGATATTTACTTTTTGGTTTTCATTGTGAATTTCGTTAATGGTATGAATAAAATATATAAATAAATTATTCGGAGGGAAAAAGTTTCCGATTCCTAATTTAGAGATGGTTCAAATTATCTTCGTGCGTATGTACATACGTATGTATGTACGTGCGTACATACGTTACATACATTTTTATTATCTAATTTCTTTTTCTTTCACAATACTGTACCTACATCATAACATTATATTGATATAAAGCAGGTACGCAGTAGGACAAAATGCTATTCGTGATCGTATTTAATGAGCATTATAAATCTTTGTATCCTTATGGAGAAAAATGTTTGAAATATGGTCAAATCATCTAAAGTCGTAATTCTAGAATATTTGGAGTTTCGCAAAAAAAATCCATTGCCTTGTAATCAGTGTTGTCAATGGACATGAACATGGACATTATTTGGCATTGTTCACTGTCCATGGACTGTCCAGGTCCAATAATTTGCTTGGACATATGTCCATGTAATAAATTGCTTGGACATATGTCCATGTACAGTACAACAATGCTTGTAGTCTTGGATAAGACCTACGTATAAAGTTTTTTTTTTTTTTTTGCGAAATTACTTTTATCCGTTGAAGAGATACAATTTGAAAAAAAATAACAACAGAAATTTTCTAATTGTCAAGGTATTATTTGATTGGTTAGGTTTTCGGAATTAAATTACTTAATTGATGCGACTAGATGATTTGCACTAGGGATGTTAATCGGTCCCGCAGTAATTGTCAGCCGACTTTGAGCAAAATTTATAAAAAATTGGTATTTTTAACCGATATTCGTCCAATAAATAAAGTCATAGAAAAATAATTTTTCCGTTACATTTTCTAATAGAGGTTTGTCGGATTTTGCATTGGTTTTTGAGTAGTTTTGATGGGACCGATTAGGGACCGAACAGTGTGGAGAAAATTTAGCTAATCGGTCCTTAATCGGTCCCATTTAAATTACGCAATAACTAATGCAAAAACCGATAAACTTCTATTAGAAAATGTAACAGAAAATTATTTTTCTATGACTTTGTTTATTGGACGAATACCGGTTAAAAATGCCAATTTTTTATAAATCTTGCTCAAAGTCGGCTTACAATTACTGCGGGACCGATTAACATCCCTAATTTGCACCATGTAAAATATGTAGCAATACATTCATGTTAGACATTAATATAGCTTTTCGATTGAGTTAGAACTCTCATTGTTGACTATTGTCACATTTAGATGCTACCTTAATTTATGGTCAGCGCCAAACACACTTCTTTAGGTTTCTTTAGGCCTACAATAAACCGAGTGGTGCATATTTCAATTTTTATAATTAAACTTGTTTCAAATCAATTTTTCAAGCGTTTTTTTGATGATCTATTGATTCGATACAATAATAGCAACCAGTACAGTTTTCCAATTAGGGTTCAGGCAAGCTTTAGCTTAAAGGCATGCCTTCAATTTCTTAAATTTGGGGCATGCATATAAGCATGCTCCTTAAAAAATTTTTCATGAGTTAATTTTTACATATGCAAATTTTTTAGTAAAAGGCATGCCCCATAGGCACGCCCGAAACCTCTGTGCCCTGCTCCCTATTTCTAATAAAAAATCATACATACTGATTCTATATAATAATTTAATTTATTCTACGTTTTTTTAAAAGTTATAAATCATATCATACACGTACTAACTAGTTATTATATATAACGGCTGATGAGTATGATGCAGTTTATCGTGCACCCACCATACAAGCAGGGTTGTTAGTGGTAACTTTACCAATTGTAAGTTACCGGTAAATTTCAGTAAGGTAAGTTACAAAGTTACCATTATAGGAATTATAATAAATAATGAGATAATTAATCATTTTAGTATCAGCAATCGTGACATAATTTGATAAGCAAAATTTTATGAATTTTGATTCCGATAGTTTGAAATATTTTGTGGTAACTTACCGTAAGTTACCAGTAAATAACCATTTGGGTTACTTACGTACCAGGTAATTTTACAACCCTGCATACCAGACTGAATCAGCCTGGAAGTTCGGGTGATGATCTATGAAATTGCCGTAGCATATATTTTATTTTGTCACATATAACACGAATGAGCGAAGTTACTTTTTTGAAAATAGTTTTTCTAATAGAGCGTCCAGGTTCTTGGTTATCCAATATAGATTTTTGATTTCAAATTGTCCCCTATCAAGATCATCACCCGAACTTCCGGGGCTGATTCTACCAGACTGATCAGGTTACCCATACTATACTGATATTCTGTATCCCATTTGATTCTGTCACCAGTAATTTTTATTTTTATTTTTTTTCAGCTGCCCCAATTTTATTATAGTATATACTACAATAATACGTTTCATCTAATTGCTGTAGTGCTTTAAGATTAACATGTATCATTTGAAATTTACAATATTTGATCGAAAGATTCATTATATAAACTGTATCTTATAATTATGACTGACAAAAAAGAATTTTATTTTTTTTCATGAAAATTTTTTAGTATTTTCTTTAAAATTTCTACGCTCTCATGTTGTGCTTTATTATAGGTATTTATATATGTTTACTGTTCTAATATAATCATTCAAGAAATCTTCACATTTTTTTAGCATATTAAATAAATGTAATTTTTTTCCCTACCATGAATTATTCTTAATTAATTCTCAAAGCCTCCTGCATTAACGCAACACTTTATCTTGTTATAGAATACCTGAAACAAATTCTGTTGGATAAGTGGTATTAAAGTGTAAAAACTTTATTTACTATAATTATTTGTTACCACTTTGACCATTAAGATCTTTCTCTCAATAAATTCAATAATGAATTTGATCACTGGATCAAATTTGAATTATTATTTAGGGTACTTTCAAGTAAAGATGCGAGCTGAAATTCAAAAAAAGAAATTAAAACAATAATTGATCATCAAGTAATATTGCTGCAGTTTCCTTTTTGAATTTCAGTTCGAATGATTTTGGTGTATTCAATGAGACAAATCATATGATACTAAAATCATTCGATTTCAATCCTTCTCCTTTCATATAAAATTAAGAAAGGGAATTATACGTAACATACCAGTACAATACTATACAGCCAACTCTCATCCTGGGCGTTTGTCTTTAACTGCATCGATTATGGCAAATTACAAAGAAACCGCATGTACTACCTAGGTCTATCTACATCATTATAAATAATAAATCTCGATTTTTTTTTTTAACATAAAACTTCCTATAAAAAAATGAGTGAAAGTGTATCATTGTTAAGAACGCGAGAAGATCTCCATAATCCCATTGATTACAAAGAACAATTCTGGCGTTTGTGCAAACAATGTGCAAACAATACGAATTCTGGTTTTTGTCTTTAATAATTTTGATAAAATTATTCATTATACCAATAATTATCTTACATAGTACGCATTACTGACAGACGTATCAAGAATTCCTTATGAGTATATAATAGTTTTGGATATGTAACTATGTTATTGAAGGCTATCCAACTGAATTTAATGATGAAACTAATCCTGTTAGTTCGACTAAAGCTGACGATTCTAATCAATCCAGGTTCGTAAAATATGCAGAAATCATCTTAAAGTACAATGTTATAGAATTTAGACATCATCCAAACGGCACTGAATTTCCCGTTTTAACCGTGATTTCTAGGGTCGTTAATTATTTACAAATGAAATAGAAATTATTCAAGTTCATGAACCTTTACTATCAAGTAACGCTTCTCATTTCATTCGAATTAATTTAGAATTATGAAAACCATTAATTTAATTTATCAGTAGCATCCAAATTATTGTCACGCAATACGTACAACTTTGTTTCTGTATACATAATTATTAAAACAGGCGGCGAAGCCACCCGCATGATCATTTTCTAGTTGAAATGGAAAATCTTATCAACAATAGCTGCATCCGTAATACCAATAAGCCTAAATGGTCACTCATAGTTCAAATTTTTCGATATATATTTAGAAATTCGAAGTATATCTCTAAAATAAGGCAGATATCTGTCCTTTTGATCCATTTCCGGTCAATCGTCCCATTGGAATGCTTTACATTTTACCTCGTATTCCATATTAAAACCAATTGCCTCAAGCTTGAGGCGGTAGCTCTTTGAACTGCATTCCAATCTTTACGTTTAATATTGGACATAGATTTTTGCAGATTTTTCAAAAATCTTTCAATATTATCAAGTCGTTCAATAACATCTTGTTTACTTTCCTGGATAACTAAAAGATAAAACATTATATTAGCTTAGTTTTTGGCCCTTTGTTTAAGGTAGATAAAATAATTATTATCAAAAATAAATAATAGCAAATCGAAGTAAATAAATCTAAATTAAAAGTTGAAGTAATCTATTTAACAATCATAATCTATGATTGTAAGATATAAATTTACTTCAACTAGTTTAAATTTTTTTTTGGTACGTATGCATGCAGCTAAATTGAAAGAAAATCTAAGCATGAAATTTGAAGCCAAATATAAAAAGTACACGTATATATTTTCAAAGTTAAATTATACAAATTAATAACTTTATTTATTAAAAGTTTAAAAATTACCTTTGGTCAATTGTTTTGTTACAGAACTTGAACGCTTTTTTGAATGCGAGGAAATAACAGATCTAATAGATGCTTGTTATGCCGTCTTGGTGCTATCTTATTCATCACTATCAGACTCATCTTGATAGTTATTGTTATTTATTGTATTTACTGCGTCTGATGATAATGATTTAGATTTAAAATCCTGCAAATATCGAATTTCCTGGACTGGGTTGTTTAACGGTTATATTCAGAGACTATGTGAAAATGCAAACGAAACAGTTTTCAAAAAAATTGCTTTTTTTAAAGGAAATCCTGATTGGGGTTTGACTTTCTCATCTGTGGACGAGAAGATAAATTATGGTTATAGCATTAAATCGTCTTTTGGGATCTGTTTAAAAGGTATGTTCTGAATTATCTACATTATCTTTATTTTTTGTGTTTAAATTGTTATAACAACATTCTAATACTTTCGTTAACTTGGTCAAAATATAGAGATTATTCATTGATCAGGCTGCTCTGTTTCTTCCAGTCATACCTACTCTATACACTGCTTATTATGATCTCTTGAATAGAGAACGTGACCGTCAATATGAACATGATTCTGTATCCCCAAATGGTAGACCCGATCAGGGACCCGTAAAAATTAGATCGCAATCGCAATTTTTACCTTCAACGATACACTAGGGTGGCGCCTCAACTAATGATCATTAATTTCGGATTTTTTATAGGCCGTATAATTTAATATTAAATTAAATTTACATTTTTTGGCACAAGTAT